CCCCCCCCCCCAAAGAAAAAAAACAACAAAAAACAACTGAATTCCCAAACCCGAACACTGAAACCCTCAACCTCTTCTTGGCCTCCCATCACACGGTGTTTCTGACTTAGGATGGGAAGGATGGGATGACACCTGGGCCGATGAAGCCCCGGCCGATGAAGCCCCAAAGAAGAAAAAGGCAGGTTCGCATGTACAGTAATCAAAGTTTGTAGGTTTAGGGTTTAGGGTTGCTGTTGGGATGTATTTCGGTTTGGGGTTCAGAGTTGGGCTGTTAGGAGCTGAGAGGGTTGATTTCAAATCTTCTGTGGTTTAGACTTGTGGTTTTGCCGTAGAAGTGTTATTCTTGAGTCTACCGAGGCCCTGAATTTGTAGGCACCTTTTTGCACAGCCTGGTTTCCAGTTAGGATCCCATAATCAGAGCCTAAGGTAACCGACAAAAAGTTACTACAATCCACGGTGTAGGGAAGGGGTTCCGACCTACGACCTACAGGACCTCTTCCTCACTCAATGTGCCTGAGGTTTTTCGTGCTGAGAGCGTGCTTCACACAGGGGCGCGAACAGTTAGTGTGGGCGTTTCTATGGGCTCTCTAACCAAACCGGAATTACCCCCCCCCCCNNCAACATTAGCACCCTAAACCCTAAACCCCTAAACCCCTAAACTTAACCCCTAAACCCCCTTTCACTTTAATCCCTAAACCCCTAAACCCCCCTAAACCCCTAGACCCTAAACCCCTAAACCGCTATACCCCTAAACTCTAAACCCCTAATCCCTAAACCCTGAACCCTAAACCCCCTAAGCCCTAACCCTAAACCCTGAACCCCTAAACCCGAAACCCTATATTGTTGGTAACCAGGCCAAAAAGGAGCCTGACAAAGCAGAGAAGCCCTTCAAGGCGGAGAAGGCGGCTGCAACTTCGTCGGGCAGCGAGTTACCGGGGCCGAGGTGTTGGGTTTTGGGGTTTAGGGTTTTTAGGGTTTATAAGGCATTAGGTTTAGGGTTTAGGGTTTAGGGCCAAAGTATAGGGTTTAGGGCATCCAGGGTTTAGGGCATTGAGTTTTGGGGTTTAAATGTTTAGGGTTTGGGGCATTGGGTTTTGGGTATTTTGGGTTTAGGGTTTAGGATTTGTTGTTTTGCGGTTTAAGGGTTGGGGCATGCCATGTTTGGTTATCGGGCTTTGCTTCGTGAGCTTGCAACACGTATGTAAGCCTGATTGCCCTAAACGGTGAAAAGGAGGGGCCTTATAATAATTAGAATAAGGTTTTGGGTTTTGGGGTCCAGTATACTATAGTTACGATAAGCCCCGCCCCTCCCCCCCAAAAAAAAAGTACTTGTAATTATTTTATGCCCCCACATTAAACCCGGAACCCCGAACGCTGACCCCCGAAGCCTGCAGAGCCCAAGCCTAAAACTCTACCTGGACCCTAAAGAACCTACCTTTTTTAGGGTTCCTTAATATGGTTTCTTTGTCTAAGTCCTTAAAAAGGAAGGTTATTTGGGGTTAAGGTAAACCTTCACCCCAGACCCCTGGGCAAACTAAGGGTTCACCTCGACAGGCCAACTGCATGAGCTTTTGATCCACAAGGTAACCTTGCGTATAAACAGCCGTTTAGGCTGTCGGGTTCAGGGTTCTTGAGAACCTCTGTAGAACCTTGTAGAATCCTTTCTAGAGCCCTTGATAGAACCCCCTGTAGAACCCTTCATGCCCCTAAACCCTAAACAATAAACCCCCTAAGGCCTATCCCCTTACTTTTTTGACACTAGGTTCCTGAGCAGTACCCTTTTGCCCTGTTTATTTTGGGGTCTCCTTATTAAAACCGAATACCAGGAAAAAGGGTGCCCTTATTATTTAGGAGTCACTCAGGAACCTACCTATAGTCTCCATTATTGGTGTTCCTTTTTTTGGTTTAACCACAAATATATGAAGGATTTTATAAGGTATCCCCAATAAGGAATTCAATGGAGACTATAGGTAGTATTGAAGCCCAGGAGAAGCCTGTTCCTTAAAGGAGCCATTGTGAAATAAACGTCTATACTTTCTTCTTCCTGGTTACTTATAAGCCTAAACCCTAAACCCTAAACCTAAACCGTGACCTCAAAGCCCAGCTTTTGAAGCCCAGGAGAAGCCTCAGAAGGTCGAAAAGCCGGCGAAGGCCCTAAACCCTAAACCCTAAACACTCTTTATCATATGTATTTAAACCCTATCTATTCGTGGGATTTTGGCCCCCCCCCCCCC